AACCTCAGCTACTGTTTCATTCTACGTTCATGATATAGGAACAAACTGCTGTATAGTAAAAAAATGCTCATAAGTTACCCTTGAAAATAATCACAAAGACTTTAATAAAATATTCTTTTGTATGAGTCATACAGTGGTTATTAAATACATTAAATGATTTTTAATTCAAATTTAATAATTCACAACTAGTAATAACTGTAGTTAAAGAGAGTCTTCTCAGTGCAACTAGAGTTTTTATTTTTTATATTTCAAGGAAGTAATTTTAAATTTAGCAAGCTTTAATTTTATAATTCTCATGGAATACATAAAAATGTAGGTAATTGTAAGTGATTCTTTTAATCAGATTTTCCTAAAACATTTCACAGGGTATATTAAGTTGCTGTTTCATAACATAACTGATTCCAAATTTTTTTTTATACATCTCTACTTGTAAGAATATTGGACTATAAACCTATGTTCTAAAAAAATAATTTTCTATCATTAAATAACACCGGAGAGGGGAATTAGATATATGAATTATATTTCTATATTTTTAACAGATGTAAGTTTTATAGTTCCACGTGCAAAAATGGAATTCTATAATAATCAGAAATAGTATTTGTTTGTGAATTTTGTTACCATATGTTTTCACTCTGAGGCTACTTTTTCACTGATGGCAGAAAAACTGAATCTAAAGACTTTTAAAATATAACCAGCTCAATCCAGTGAATTGGGCGGAGGGTTTAAGGTTCATTATTTACTTCATAGCCCAATTTACAAAAACCATCTAGGGCTTTTTTACTTCCTTACCTCTCCTGGCCCTGAGAGATCACATATAGTGTGAAAAGGGGGAGGGCCTTATATATGCGATTTGGCAAGTGTTGGAAATAAGAAAGAAGCCTCCATTTGAGGTTGTTGTTGGCATAATGATTACATCCTTATTCTGTACATATGGGACATACTGTTGATGCTTAGGGTGGCATGTTAGATAGGGATAGTCACTCATCTGGACCCAGTGTAGCTTCTTGGTACAAGTGATTTTTCTTACAATCTCATCATTTACTTTTGAAATGTGTTATGGCTAACACATAAGGTTGTCTACATCTGGCGTAGGAGATCTCTTGGCAAAGCTAACTGCTTTTCCCTTTACCCACCTTCTGAGTCTTCTACTGGGACATATAGGAAATTTATGGTTTCCCTCTTTATTTAAATGAGACTTCCCCGCCCCCCCCCTAAAAAAGAGGGTAGGTCTGGTAGTTAGAAAGTGAGCACTCAGCATTGTTCTTGTGTTTCCTTCTTCCCTATTTCTTTGTTTTTACCCTGAGTTCTTACCCTTCCCTGTTTTGGGGAGAAGGTGAGGACCATGGGGCAAAACAGAATAGTACGTTTCACTCTGTTCTTAAAACTGTACTCTGCTCAATTCGGTCTGGTGAGGCTCACTCCTCTCAATTCGGGAGATGGAGTTAGGCAGGAGGTAAAACCTGAGACTGCAAATGTTCTCCATACTCTTCCATTTCCTTTTTAAAAAATATGTTTTTATTGATTTTTTTTTTTAGAGAGAAAGGGAGAGGGGGGAAAGAAAAACATCAATGAGAGAGAGAAACATTGATAAATTGCCTCCCGATCGGGAATCAAATCAGTAACCTTTTGGTACACGGGATGATGCTCAACCAACTGAACCATACCAGCCAGAGCTATTCTCTCCTTTTTAAATCTCATCTCTTACATTTAAGTTCTGGGTTTTAAACAATAATAAAAAAGCATTTTTCCCCCTTTCTTACTGTTTGATGTAGGAATGGTCTTGGTCATCTGCCACCAAACAATATACCACATATTATTGTACTACATCTTGGTGTGTATAAAGATACCAGCATGTTTTTGTGGTTCAGACATTAAGTGTGGAGGCCTTGACTCCCATCTAGCTCAACCACCTACCCCTGTATAAGCTTAGGAAAATCATCATCTTCTCTAAGCCTCGTTTTAATAACCTGTAAAAGAAATGACACATAAGTAGCAACTTTAGAAATTTTCTGTTCCAGAAAAGAAAGAGTAAAGAAAGAAATGCTATTGTTATCCAGGAAAAGTATATTGTATCACCTTTAATTAAATACTTTGATCCCAGTCATCCTGAAATCACTCTCTAAAAATCCAGTGGGTGAGGTTCTCTATAATTAGGAGTCCTTAGGATCCTCTAAGCAACTGGCAGAATAGTTCTAATTTTCTCAGTTTTCAAATGTTGGTTAATGATTCTGTCATCTTTGCAATTCAGTTTTAAGCACGTCTAGGATACTTGTTGCAGAGGGGAGTATGAAATATAGCTTACACTATAAAGTAGGCCTTACAGTTCCTCATGAGTTCTCTTGTCCAGAGAATGAAACAGATATAAATGTACATTTATAGAACTGTCATGCTCTTTTCCCTATGGTTTGCCATGTGTTGTCATAAATGCCTGCTGACTAGTAGTCAATGAAGACCATTTAATATTAGAAGTCCTAGAGTAAAAATCAATTTTCAGTTATATGACAAACATAATAAATTCTACTTTTTTTCTATTTCATTGGCATATCATCAATTTTACTTCTAGCTTAAGAAACTAAGTCTTCTAAATGAAGGCTTCTAAAGTAATGTCCTTTGGGAATTAAACCACTGAAGACAATAAAGACTTTAAAAACTAATAAAAATATTTTGGGGGAGGGAAACTTTTTTTTTACTTATGTTGATTATTGTTTTAAAGGCATTTCATCTAGTGAGTTTCTCAGTTTCTCCTTTGATCCTTATCTACCTCATGAATTTGAATGTTCATAAATGAATATAATTGGTAGCTATGCCTTCTATGTTAAACATATACGGGGTTGATTTTTCTTCAAAGTAAATTACTTCTTTGTAGTATTAAGTTACTCTAATTTCCTACCTCCGTGCCTTTTATTTTCCCCTGGAGAAAACCCTTCCAGGGCATGACCTAATGAATTCTGGTTCAAATTTCCAAATGAATCTGAACCAAAGTGATTCTATAAGTCAGTAGAGGGAACCTTCATTAAATACCCTAGTGAGGGAAATTTTAGTCTTTCATACTAGAATAAAGTACTTTTCTTGACATATTGAAATTGAACTTCAACGTTTATGAGACTATAAATTGCAACAGCACGTTGTAACATGTCATGAGTCCAGTAGAGCCTTAGGTCAAGGGTTTTTACTTTCTCTATAACCCCATTAAAAATATCAGTGTTTCTAATTATTTCTCCTTTAAAAATTAGAAAAGTATGTCTTTCTCTCCAGAGACATGTTATCTTCAGTTATTTCTCTAATTTATATGGTTGCATGGGGTATGTCTTTATAGTTTTTATTTGGCTTGACCAAAGTGCAAATTCAATTTTATAGGTGTGACTAGTTAGCCTTCTCTTTTAAAACCTGAATGTGGTTTTGTAATTGAGAAAGTTAATTTTTGCTTCTCCTCTTTATTACTGACTCTGCCATCTTCTTATCTCAAGGGCTTCTTAACATCACAATCTCAAGAGCACACTACTGCATTTACTAGTAACTGTAGGACCAGAATCCATTTATACTACTGTGTTCACATTGTAGTTGGAGTTGATCATCTGAAGTTGAATTGATATTTTTCTATAGCACTTCTTTTGCATCCCTCAAATATGGTCACCAGATTACAACACAGCCTGCAAGAGCTTCTAGCTCTTACAATCTATCATCTTTGAGGGTTTTCTGAAGTAACATGACATGATCAAAAACATACTGTTTTGATGGCTAATTGGCTGGGCTTCCTCAGGATGCCAGCATTTTATTTATTCTGCTAACCACATGGCTGAATGTAGGGGTTTGCTGTGAATTGTAAGACTAGACAATGCATAAACATGTATAAAATTCAGTGTGTGTCTTATTTGTAGAAGTCAACTGTGCCACTCGCGGTATTTGTTAGTAATAAAGAGAAACTGACTCTAGCAATCTGAAGGCTGTGGAAACTACTGAATTCAACATGGGCTGAAAAACATAGTATGAGGAAACAAGGTAGCCCCAGAGATCAAGATTCAGGATATCCAAAAGCAATTCTTTACCGAAAGAGTCTAATGAGGACATGGCCCCATGGCTTCCACCATTGTCAGTGAGCTCTATCCATCCCTTCATCTTTCTGTCACTCACTCAAAAATGAAAGCCTTCCAAACAAGAACATCCAGCTAGCTGAGGCTGTGTCATATGCCCAGCCTGGTGGCCTAAGGCCACAGAGAGAGAGAAGCTGGCATTTTTTTTTTCCTGTAGGCTACATACAGTGGAAGGTTTTCCTCCTAAATTGGAAAGAATGTGGCTTTGTAGATAGATACAGGATTTAAAAAAAACAAAACACACAACACCTTGCAAATATTCACTATTTTTATAAAACAAGCAACTCATGATTAACTTTGACAATTTATTTTAAAAATTAAGATTTTTTCTGGGACATCATGTTGAAGCTAAAGAATCCCATCTCTGTAGCATATTATTTGGGTTAGCTTGGGAAACAAAAATAACATTTCTAATCCCTAATTACAAATTTGAAATAATAATATTGACTGTGTTGAGATACTATTTATAATGCCTAAAAGACAATGACAAGTACATTTCATGCATTTATTTTTTGTTGTTGTTAATCCTCACCTGACACAGTGAAAGGGAGGGGGAGAGACAGAGAAAGAGAGAGAGACATCAAAGTGAGAGAGACACATTGATTGGTTGCCTCTTGCACTCACCCCAACCAGGGCCAGGGATTGAGCTTACAGTCGAGGTACATGCCCTTGACTGGAATTGAACCCAAGACTATTCAGTCCATGGGCCAACAGTCTATCCACTGAGCCAAACCAGCCAGGGCCATGCATTAATTTTTTCATGGCATTTTTCTACTTAGGCAACTTATTTGATTGGAGTGATTGTAATTTTTTAGAAGTTAATATTACGTTGCTGCATGATGATTCTGCTCACTTATCTGCAATTTTAAAATAAATTATGTAGTTTGATTTTTTTTTTTTCTTTAACAGACAGGCCAGCCTCAATGAAGCAGCCGAGAAGTATTATGATCTGGCAGCCAGGCTGAGGCCCAATGTAAGTACTTTCCTGATGAGAAGCATTACTTACAAGGACAGACTCACAGCATGAGATGGTTATAGACTAGATGCCTCTTGATACTGGGTTTTCTCTCTGATCCTTTATTCTGAATACCAACTAAATGGCTAATTCAACAATAAAATTTGCCAATCTCAACCTTCTTTCTTTTCCCAGAGGTACAGATTTCTATTTTCTACCTTGCATAAAGCATTATAAATTTTTATCATCAAAATACAGGTGTAAGCATTTCTAAATAATTGCATTTGGGAGACTTTTAAAATTAGTTTCCTTGAAAGTTTGTTTGTTGTGGTGTTAAATATCTAAGAACTTTCGAACCTCATAAGTATTTTTTGATTCTTACATATAGTCAAATAGGTGTGTGCCTTTTTCATATTCCACGATCCTAATTTCTAATAACTGTGCTTTTCAACTTTATCAAGTATGTTTTTATTTGACTTTTTCCCTGGGTAGTCACACTTCCATAAAGTAAGATGGATATAAATTAGGTCATTACTATTGAAATAGAGGAACCACTTATGAGAAAATAAGAATGGGTTTTGTATTGGTCTTCTGAGCACTTTTTATTCACAGCACATCACTGCATTCCATTCCATTACTTTTATTCTCATACACACTCCGCTCTGCTCTCTGCATCACTATTTGACACGAAGACCTCTATCCTGCTCCCTGGATCTACACCATCTATTGAGAAATGTAATTTTGTAATGAAAGTGCATGTGTGATGGGACTACAAATGAAATCCGTCTCATTTCTGTACAGTAACTCATCTATTGGGCAAACAAACATCTATAGAATGCCCGCTTGGTGATAGGATACAAAGATGTCTCACCCTAAAAGACCGCACGATGTAGCAGAGAAGACTGAACGTAATCAGCTAATTGCAATACAGTGCGGTGATTCCTATAGAGAGGTGCCTGCAGCCCTGCGGGAGCACAACAAGAAGCTTAATGCTTCTTGAAAGCAACCCACCCTGGAAGTAGGTTTTTTTCAGGAGATTCAACCACATACAAACTTAGCCCTGAATCTAAAAGTCCTTTGTTTCATTAATCATGAGGTACTTTTAAGAAGTGGTGAGCTGTAACAGGAGATAATAATTTAATAGCTGTAATGGTAGGAACGATAACAGCTAACATTTATTGAACACTTCTCATGTGTCAGACATTGTGCTAAGTCCTTCCTATGAATTCCCTCATTCATTTCTCACAACAACCCACGAGTAGTTGCTTTATCCCCATTCTGCTGAAGCTCGGAAGACATTCACCCTCTCTCACACCTAAGAAGTAGAGTCACATGGAAACCTGGGCTACTGTGTGCATAAGAGAAAGCTTGATAGAAAAATGCACTTACACTTAGAGAGGAAATGCAGGCCACAAGTCTAGGAAACCAAAGTAAGAATGGCCTTCTCATATTTACTGAATACCGGTTAAGTGCCAAGCACTATTCCAGGCACTGGGTGCACAGCAGTGAGCAAAATTGACAAGAGTCCCTTCCTGTTGTGAGCTTACAACCTAGCTGAGGCGATGGAGCAAAAGCAGATGAGTATGGCATGTCAGACAGTGATAAGGGCTTTGGAGAAAAGTGGAGCAGGAAAAGGGAGTTAGGAGGCTCAGGGGGAGGTTTGCTAAAGGCATAGCTTTGTAAATGCCTGAGTTGGGCATCTTTATGTGGCATTTCTCAGGAAAGGGTTAAATTTGAGGACTTAAACTTACTATAACTTAATTGAAGACAGGAATCAGGTTTTTTGCTTTTCTTGCTTTTTTTCTTTATTTTCTTTACATTGCCTAATATATTGCTCTTAATGTACATAATAAATGATGTTAAGTTTAACCTTTACTCACTGAGTATGTCACTTGAGTGTCACTTTTATTTTTGTTAAGTGGTTGATCAAAAGATCTTCTTCAGCATATTAGAGTGGATGAGTGGGAAAGGGCTAGCTGAGCTATTTGACCTGACCTAAAAAATTAAAGAGGCTGAGGAACCCCAGATTTAAGCCTGATTTATGAGATTATTTATTTTAAATGACTAGCCAAATCATAAAATCAATATTTAATCTCCAACTCAAAGCCATTTTTTTCAGAAACTCTCAAAAGTTACTTCATAAATGTGGTACAGACTGCACTTAAAAAATGCTTTTATTCAAATGATACTTCCCATATCTGGTAATGATAAATTATTTTATGGACTTGGAGAGAATACAAAGTTCATACTTAACAGTAAGTAAATGGTGTTACACTCAATGGATCTACAGATGTGGTCTTTCCATATCTGTTTTAAGAATTGTGTTTTGGTTTTCTGTATGCAATCCAGGGAAGTGAGATGTCACCAAGGCAAGACTGATAAAATACAGTACATTTTTCCTTTGAAATGAAGAGATCTACTTAAACAATAGCCATGTAATGATTTATTAGCAGTTAGCATCTGATCTAAATTAAGGTATTCATCTAACACTTCTCTTGCTCATAGCTGTTTATTCACTTTGTCATAAAAGCATTGTCGTTTCTATGCTTTAACTTAATAAATTTTAGTTGCCTGCGTATATAACATAACAAAACAGATCTCAATTCCCATTCCACATTTAAATAGTTTCACTATCTCCTCTATTTTTGTTGTCTACACGATAATCTACTCTTACTCTTATTTTTCATAAAGCATTTCTTTCCACTGTTTAAAAGTCCAGCTATAACAATCAGTAGCTGTATGTGGGGGTCTCTGTGGATGTTTTAGCAATCTCATGTCAGATCATGATTATACAAAGTAAAATGCGTGGCTGTAATCCTTGTGCACACCACTTATCGTCTTATTAAAAAGATTGTTGGTTATCTCTGGGATATATTTCTCTCTTAATAAAATACCTATTTCATTTCTTCAGGATGTCCCATAATGAATTTATTCAATTTTCCTATTCTACAAAAGCCATATTTTTCTATAAAATTTACTTAGAAGAATTCCATTGATCAAAATCTGAAATAATAAAACAAATCTAAATTAGCAGAAACATATAATTTTAAGTTTTAGATTCTGACATTGTCTCTTCAACAGGGATACTCAATACATTGCCATTTACTGAAGTACACAGAGAGAGATATTTATTATAAAAATGTCCCATTAAAAATTTATTTGATTTGGGGGGGGGTGCTGTAAAATTAAACCCTATATTTAAATATATCTCTATAATGGGAAAACTCTTTACCAAAATAGCCATTTTGAGTTTTTTTTTATTTTTAGTGTTATTTTCTTTAAGAAAATTGATCTTTCGGTAGAAGTTACTTTGAAAACACAACACTGTTCCTCTGTCTTCTCTCCCACTTATGCATATGAAAAAATGCTGACTCTTGAGGACGAGAGGGAACATTTAAATGAAATGGTTTTGTTCTTCCTGTGGGACTCAAGCCAAATTCTGCATTAACATATGGATTTCTAAATAAAAAGAATGGAGAATTTGCATAGCACAAAGTCACCCACTTCAGTAAACTCTAGAGTTAGAAAGGAGTAATTCCTAATGACGAGGTTTATATAGCTTCTATTCTTCTAGATGTAATTGTTTTAGTCTGAATTCATGTGACTTCTTTTTTAAATCAAGTTCCAGCCGAAACCGGTTTGGCTCAGTGGATAGAGCATTGGCCTGCGGACTGAAGGGTCCCAGGTTTGATTCCGGTCAAGGGCATGTACCTGGGTTGCGGGCACATCCCCAGTAGGAGGTGTGCAGAAGGCAGCTCATCGATGTTTCTCTCTCATCGATGTTTCTGACTCTCTATCCCTCTCCTTTCCTCTCTGTAAAAAATCAATAAAATATATTTAAAAAAAAAATCAAGTTCCAGCTTTGTGCAAGATTCTATGCCAAATGTAGTAGGATTAAAAAGTTATGAAAAATTAACCCTGACCTTGAGAAATATACTATGTAATGTGGGGAAAGAGTGGAAGAGAAAACACCTGGGCAATTAATAATACTATATAGTAAGTGCTTTCTGTGGGATATAAACTAGGTACTAGAGAAATGCACAAGAGAGATATTACTTTCAGCTTGATTGATCCTAGAAGGCATAGACCATGGGTGGGAAGCTTAGAGAATCTTGAAATGACAGGATCTTTATAGGTGAAGATTTTAGCAAAAGAAGGAGAAAAGAGAGAGTTCTGGAAGGCTGAGGCATATACATGAACAAGGAGATTGAGCTCAGAAAGGATGAGCTATGTCCAAGAAATAATAAGCAGATATGGTTTATATTGCCAACTTTGAGAGGCAGAGAGGAAGGGGCAGGAAAAACAGAACTGGAAATTATGATAGAACCAAATGAAAGTCATAAGTAGCATACTAAGAATTAGGAGTTTGTATTCCAGAATTGTGTTAAACAGAATGGCATAATGAAAGTGATAATTTAAGATAGCCATTTATATGATGTAATGAATACAGGGTGGGGCAAAAGTAGGTTTACAGTTGTGAGTATATGAAACAGAGTTTATTCTTGTATTATTACTTATTAATTTTTGCATTATTTTCCATATGAACAACTGACAGCCTACTTTTTCCCCACCCTGTGTATGGCGCATGTGGGAAAGTAGAATTGAGAAGTGCAGCCTTGGGAAAACCAAGTAAAAGGTCATTATAATGGCATAGGCAGAAGGTATAATAGGTTCTAAAGTTTGGAAACACATTGGAATAGAAAAGATCATGCAGGGGCAATAAGCAGATTATTTGATAGAATGTGAGTAAGAACATGAGTTGGCCCAATGCCTTGTTCTAAAATTTTGAATTTAGATAACTTGCAGGGGCGGGGGGGGGGTACCCTAAATGGAAATAGGGCGGATAGAGGGGTGTGTTTATTTCAAGAAGGAATTGTTATGTTTTCACCAAGCAGATTCTGAGTGAGAGGTAGGATGTTCTAATTTTCTATGGGTGTGCCTTTCAAGTGAGCATTTTGGGGAAAGGCCACAGTTAGGGATAATGCTGTGGAAGTCATTTATAGAAAAGAGATAGTACC